TCTTCCAGTACTTTGAACCATGCAGCTTAGGTGAAGGTGCAGCTTCAACCACCAGGGGGCAGAAGTCAAATGTGATAATCAAAGGAGAAGGTGATCATTTTTATTTAGAACCCACTAGCAGCAGGAACATCCCCAATTCACACATTTTGACATTTTTTCCTGCATTAAAGTTCTGGAACCAATGAAATAATCCCTGCAGGGGTAAAAAATTAAATAAAAGAACTGAAGAAGCTTCGTCTTTCATTAGAAGCTCTTACTGCTGCGAAACAACAAGCTAATGGGAGCTAGCATTCCTCTTCCTCACTACTCTAAGGGCCTGTAGAGCTCCCCCTACAGGTTTGGCGGTGTAGTTCAGTACATATCAGTGGCTTAGTGAGATGTTATAGTCTGGGAAAATATGGTATTGCTTTTAAAATATATGCTCCAAATCGCAGAGCAATCAATTTAGCAAAATATTTAACAATCTAAATATTTAGTTTGGAACTTTTTTTTAAACTTTTTTATAAATGAGTGAGTGACAGCGAAAAAATGTAATGGAAACAATGAGGCCCTTATTTATCTCTTAAAACTTGCTGAACAACCATGAATATTGCTGCTAACGGTTGACTGCCTAACTTTACAAACGGCACTAATATGGATCCAACCACAAATTATTTATTGAACAAAAAAATGTTTTTCCCTCAAAATCGGCGTGTTTCTATTAAAGCAAATATCTTTTTGTACTAATTTAAACTTCGACAGAAAAATGCCTACTGTCATATTTTGTTAATCATTAAAAGTCAACATACAATCAGAGGTGTCAAGTATCCACTTTATACTTGTTAGTTTTGCTTCATTTAAGCAACTGATGATACTAAAAAAAAACAACATTAAAATAATTTGTTTTATCCAGACAATTAATTTATTTTGGGTTGGACTCGGTGCTGCCCCAACTTGTTGCTCCCCACATACCAAAACAAATAGTTAAATGTGACACTGTTACCATTAATTGTGAAACAAAGAAAATGAAGTAAGAAAGTCATCATCCAGAATCGTAGAAAAGTTTTCTTTTGATAGGGTAGAGCAGCAAAGCTTCTGACCNTAGAAAAGTTTTCTTTTGATAGGGTAGAGCAGCAAAGCTTCTGACCGTAACAGTTTTTACTGCATTGCTTTTACTATTACATTTTAAGTAGTTTTAAAAAATGTTACTTTTTCACTTTTACTGGAGTAAAAAGCTGAAGTTGATCCTCTAACTTCTACAAAAGTGTTTTTGAACAGTATGATTTATACTGGAGTAATAAACATGAATACTTTGGACACCTCTGCATACAATTATGAGATACAAATATCTGTGAAATAAATATGATTGCAGCGGAAAGTATTTTCCATTGCTGAAGTCATTTAGGCAGTAAATACACCACAAGCGTAACAATGCAGCAAAGCGGCGCACGTTTGAAAACTGAAATTTAAACAAGACGCTGAATAGAACGCTCCACAGCAGCGGGGCTCTGAGCAGAGTCCAGCTTTTTGAGATAAGTAAATCAAAGAGTATGAAATGTGAAAGTTTTGAACTTATAAGTGATATATGATCACCTAAAAATCAGCATCTTGACCGACCTGATGAGAAATCAAATATGTATGTTGTTAGCATGTCACAACTGTTCCGGCGTTGATAACTTTAGGCATCGTAGAAAAAGTAAAGGATGGAAACTGGAGAGTATACGTGTCTGAAACTAGAAACTTATCCTAAATTAGGGACAGCGTTGCATCTCATAATACGGCTGTTGGACGAGAATATTACAGTTTGCCGTTTGAAATGAAAAGCTGAGGCATGCGTAGCTCGCAAACATTCTGCTTTGCTGCACTGATGTGCTGCTACGCGTCCGGTGAATTTGCTGCTTTAGGCATTCAGAGCCTTGCAGAGCTAAAGGTAGCACTTTGACCCTGTCCCTTGATTTTCATGCATATTTTCTCCAAGCAGCATGTTTCTTTAATGATGAATGATGCAAGCAGAAGAGCAACAGTGTTTTAAAATACCAGCATCTGTTCCAGCAGTTTCAATGCACACCAGACATCATTTCCATTTTCACCTGATAAATATTAACTGTTAGACATTAAAATCAATAGTTCAATAGAGAAACTCGGAGCTCACCGTATCCTCCAGCTTGAATGGGGGTTTTAGGTGAAGCACAGGAGTACAGACTGAAGTCTTCCGTCTGAAAGCCGGCTCGGTTTAGGGAAGGCTCCGAGGCGCTGCGGTGGATTTTGGGTAATGAACGAGCCAGCAGCTCAATAGAGGCCAGAATCTGAGAGAATAGAAAGTCATCCCATCTTAGACCACTATACACTGTTCAGCATGCATTTATACAACCATTCATGCCAAATCATCTCAAATGAAGCTGGAATGCTAATTTTAGCAGCTAAAACTGGAGAAAAAGCCAGACATGCATGAGGAGAACCATCAGATGCAGAAAACATCCAGTCCAGCTGGGATTTCTTCTCCTGTGACGCCTGCACTGCTTTCCACTTTACCACCATGTGTTAAATAAAAAATCAACCCAAAATATAAAGATAAAATGAAGATTAGAGATCTTGTAGAACCAGAGGAAGCACCCGCCCACTGTGAGATGATTGTGTCAAAATAACTTAACGAAAGATGGTTAAAAAAAACTTCAGATTTAAAATAAAAACAAGCAACATTTTTTCATTTATTTTTGCATTTGAACATTTACTTTTTTTTTATTGAAATTCTATATATTTATATATATTTTTAAACTTAATAATAAAAACATGAATCCACCTTCACATTTTTACAAACTTTAGCCCAACTTTGCATTTCAACTGTAAACCTCATTTTCGGTGTCAAATAGTTGTTTTATTAGGCTGTGACAGAGCAAAGTATCCGATTCATTTTCTCCAACTTAAATGTTACTTTCAGTCTTTGTCTGTACTTCATATGCAGCTTCAGCACAATTCACTGAATATAAGCCTGAGTTTTCCTTCAAAGCATCGTCTCCTCAGGTCTAAAACTTTCCTTTCTTGGTGAAGCTTATAGTTAGCATGGCTCAGGTTTACGGGGGTATAGACCTGACTGCGTCTCCTGATCTGCCATAACGAAGCTAGATCACAAAATGGCTTCCAGGCCCAAACGGCGCCCACCTGAGGGAAGAGAGGTCGCTCCTCTCTCTTCTTCTTCAGGCAATCTGCCATCAGTCTCTTCATGGCCTTGGGGCAGTTGCTGCGAACTTTGCTGAGGTCTGGGGAGAGATAACCTCGACCCACCATGAAGATGATCTGAGGGAGATTGAAACATACCACAAATACTTTGGAAAATTGGACCAGGAGGTAATATAAGTCATCATAAAGTTGAT